AGATAGAGTTTACGGTGGATTTACGACGTGACGATCGTCGACGAAGCGTGATATTTGCACGTTTAAAGCGGTAATCCGAGGGCCCTTCTCGGTTCTGATTACTTGAACCAAAGTGCAGAGAGAATCGGAGGGTTTTCTCGGTTGCTCGAGTAGTGTTCCAGATTGCACGCATTTCGAGATATTAGAGGAAAAGTAATGGCGCTGAGTGGCAATGTGGAAGAGATGGCCCCGGGTGAAAGTAGCGTTAGAAGAGGCCGGGCTTTAACAACTCGAAGGATGAGAAGAAGTGGTTAACGCGGAGGCTTAACTTTCCTCGAGCCACGTAATGAATAACAACGGCATCAAGTGTTTGCCACCTGGTAAGAGAAGAATTTTCCTGCAACCCCGTTTGTTTACAACCGTTAATTGGAGCGTTCCGATCATAAGCTGGTGTAATGAGATCTGCAGCTGGTTTGAAACATATCCTAATAATTTAAATTTGTACAAAACAATATTTTCGTCTGAGCTTTCAACGTAGCTTGAAGCCCTCTGCTTGGATTCCTTTCAATATTTATTAAATTTAATAACATCCCTACAGATACAACACCACATTGATAAAAATGAAATATTAATTAAAGAAAATGTAGAAAAAAGAAATTATAGTTTAATTTAATAATAATGTGAATGTCGTATCATAAAGGTGTAGCGAATAATTGTTTTTAATTCTCCTCTTTTAAATGTTTAATTATATGTTTATTAATATAATTAATTACAAAAGAAATGATTTAATTAGATTTTTTATAACGATCCCCTATTATTTAAAAGAATGAATATTTCATCCTACCATAACGCTTTACTAAATGATATTCTGCATGAAGAGAAAAGTAGAATGCATAAACGGTATAGTATAACGTATCTTACAATAAAATCATACCAGCCACGCTGCTTTTGCAGATTTTTTAACGCGGAGATAAAGATACTGACGAAACGAGAATGGACTTGCAAAGCATGCAGCGAAAAGTTGCGAACTTCCTCGCCAAGTGGGTTACAAGAGCGAGGAATTCAAGTAACTTCGGATCATTTTAACTCTCATGTGTAAAATTTCAGCGAAGAGTTACGCGAAGGAAATTTTAACGAGCTGTTTAGTCACAAAGAAGCGGTTAAGTGTCTGAAAGAAGTTTTTTTTTGAAGAGTGGAAATGTTAAGTTTAATTGCTGGAAAAATTACACCTTGATTGTTTGAATAATTTTCTTTTTAAATGTATCAACTTCAACGTTAGAAGTACAATTCTTGAGAAATTTTATTCTAATTCATTATGATTTCAAGGGGAAAATGAAGTTCTAAAAGCGGTTAATTAACAAAGTGCAAAAGCTTTTAATCTAATCCCAATATATGCACCGTACTGAGCATGATAGGCTTCTCTGGGAAAAATGGTGATATCCAGGTTCCTCAGTTCTCAAGTTTCCAGTTTCACGGATTCCCGCCCTTTTTATAGACTCTTGCTGCTACGGACTCCCACCCCGCGACTTCCACCCTACTCAGCGCATAGTCCGGGGAGAAGTGACGATGTAAAGAAGGGGACTTCATACATATATACTCTGCACCACTTGTGTATAAAAATTTAGGCGGGGAAAATTTGAATTACTATTTACTTTATTCTTCGTACTTTCCAGTTTAATATTAATATCGTTAAAATTAAGATTTTGAGAACTTCTGCTTTCCTCATATCATCGTTTTTGCTAGAGGAACCCTCTTTAATCGATTCTGTAAGGTGAAACGGAGCAAGTGCAGACTAGTTTTTGTAAAGTTGGAATTTAAACCTGTGTATTTTCAGTCTGCTAGGACTCTAATTTTCTTTGTAAATTTTCATTTTGATAGGAAATTGTACAAAATGTCAAATACCCTGCACTTTCCCCGAAAATGAGGCAAGAGCGTACCTTTGAGTTAAAAATGCTTTGAATCCTTGTTTCATATTCAATAGGGTAACAGCAGAATTATTAACAAGCCTGCTATAAAATGCTTTTGTTTAGTTTTATAGTTATCAATTTTTAAACAAAGCACTTTTTGCTGAAATATAAAAGGGGGTATAGCGAAAACACGTCCACTCTTGCGCGACATCTATGTATATCGGAATAGCTTATATTAATTTTGAATAAATTACTACACATTAGCTAGGAAAATTTCGCTCATATTATCATAAAAATAACCGTCATATGCACTTGGCCCGTTTGTGAATTTACCCCGTTCCACCTTATGTCTTCTTGTATCTTCAAATATTTATTATATTACAAGTGTTTCGTTAATATTTAAATTTTTGCATGATATGCCAATAATAAAACAGTGGAACAAGAATTTTTGGAGCTTACTACGTGCCCGAAAGAAAGTAACATCCAGACGGAAAGAGAAAAAGACGATGACCACCGTTACACGGACGGAACTCAGAAGATTATATTGCTGCAGATAGAATGCACGGAACTCCTGCATCTCGAGAATACCAATTTGATTTTCGTACGAATACCGGAAACCGAGTCGGAAGCTCGTAAAGTATACAACAAACGTGGCCAACGAACCTTATATCGAGTCAGTGCACAGGCTAAAAGTACCATTCTGTAATAAAACAAGAAATGAGAAGGTACTTGAGAAAAATATGATGAAAGCTATCATCCTCTTTGCTATGAAGCAGATTTGAGGGATACTTCAATATAATTATTTATTATATTCCTAGACAACGGGAGTATCAAGTTGCTGCATAAATAATGGCCAATTTTGAAATACAGACAGTCTGATATGATTTTATGACATAAAAGTACTGCAGAATAGTACTCGGGCTACATTAATTTGAAACTGAAATTTTCATGAAAATAATTGAACATTTTAAAAATATTTTTAATGCAAAATGAAGAGAGTAAAATTCGTATATTACGCCTCAATAACAAATTAAAAGAGTTAATAGATGAACAAATTTCTATGAGAAGGAATTAACTTTCAAATAAGACACCACGACCAACTAATATTAATATCATAGGACCAGGAACCAAAATGTAAGAACAAACTCTAATATTATGTAATGTACTATAAATATAAGAAATTATTGAAGTACAGGGATGCGGATGAATTAAACAAACTTCATTCAGAATATTTGGATGGCAAACATTTCGAAAGCCAGTAACACCATCAATGTTCTACCAAAGTGGAGAAATCCGAGTGATTTTCCCTCCAACGAATACGATGAATCAATGTTTGTTAATGAAACGAAAAGCAGTTTGTTCAGAACATCCTATGCAAATTGACTCTAGTGAATTGCACTTGAATGTTTTTCGCGAAATCGAGCATGATCATGATAACCTTTAAAGTTCAAGTGTATGTACATACAGGGTGTTCCGTCAACCTTACATACTATAGACGGAAATGTTTCTTCTAAAAATTATTATTCTTATAAATGAAATATTATATTTTATTTGCTATATCACAGGATATTTAGTTCCTCTTAAGAATACCAAATACATTTTTTTATTTTTTAAATAAACCTTCAGGTTGAAAACATTTTAACATATCATCTCATTTATAAATATATTTTATATAGCTCCTTTACGATAATTATCGCATCCCTTGCATTATGGATTGCTGTAAAACATGCCCATAGAATGAACAACAAATGTGTAATCAACACAGGGCAGAACACTTTTATGACTTCGCCTATAAAACAAGCGTTTCACTCATAAAACATTCTTCGTGCAATTTTCCATAGCCAATACATCATACACAGAGGGTGGACAGAGTAATGGAAACATAGGAATTTTTAAATACTTTTTTCCCCTTTCAATAACTCTTCTGATCAACACAATTGATTGATTTTAACGCCACTAAATCGATTTGATTATTTATCTTATATTTATTAATAAAAAAAAATATTTGCGAAATACATGATTAAGTTAGAGTGAAAGGATTAACATTCGGCTCTAATATTTCATCTTTATACATTTAGGGTTGTTTTTCTCAAGATCAATACCGCATGCAGCAAAACATTTAAAATGATACAAAATATTTAAAATCAGTATTTCCGGTTGCTTTAGTTATAACAGATACGGTTGTTTTTATTAGCATTCAACGTGTTTATAACAGAAGCGTGTATTTGCAACAAGTGTTTGCATTTTTTACTCAACTTCTGTGTTTTCCACAGCCAGCTTTCCTGCAGCTGTCGAAATACCTGAAGCTATGAATTCCAAAATAGTACAAATCCAATCAACATTTTCAAAAACAACAAAGTTTGCTTTGAAAAGAAAAAAGTCATGAAAAAGTCTGCACATTCTTTGAAGCTGCTCTTTTAAATGTTATATGAATAATCCACATGGTGTCAGAAAATAGAATCGTGTTGTTTTGAATGGTTTGAATTGAATCGATCGCAAAATGGAAGTCAATTTAAAGTATTCGTCCACCGAAAATAAAGTAGACGAGAAAGAATATCAGCGCGAGGACTAAAAGAATTGAAAGAACGAAAGAGAAGAAGGGTGCATTCGTTGAAAAGGCACACACGAGGTTTCATTTCCGAGAAGGGCTGTAAAGATTGCTCGCGTGCAACCCTCTATATGGCGTTCTCGCAAACCCGACCATATTGCTCCATAATAATAAGGTTAATGCTTTGCAAATTAAGTAGACGCGAAAAGCCTTTCGCGTGGCTTTACGTTCGTTTAAACTGTTCAAGCTTGATCTTTGCGACTATGCTCGGTTAACTTAACTAGATTCGAGGCTACGATATTTCCTATACGAAAACATTAGTTTTAACTTGTAAATAGTGAGTAAACATTAGTTTTAACTTGAGATAAAACTCATTCATCTGGAAATTTCGTCAAAACTAATAAAATTCAAAAATTTCATGAAATAAATGAAAAAAATCCACCTCTAAATTTCGCCGAATTACGCTTGAAAATACATTTTCTGGAGAGCATTCGGTAAAAATTTATAAAATTCTATCAGATTACTTGGAAAAGCAACGAAACCAAAATGATGTTAAGCTTACTTACCGACAACTTCCAGATAACCGATTTGACTTTTCATTGGATCCGTATTAATCTGACACATGTACCATCCCCTGTCAGATTCTCTTACTTCTCGTATGTGGAGAAACCATGTACGATGATCGCTATGAGAAACAGCTATCCGATGGTTCTTCGTGATTACGTGAGTGGCTATCGTCAGTATGGTTTGAGTATCCACCCGTAGCCAAGCAACCTGTAAAGAATTCAAAGTTATTGTTATGATACACCAGATCATCTCGGCACGAACATCAGGTGCATTCTTTCCAATATTAAATTTAAAAAAAAATGTATTTATAAAAATTTATGAAAAGCAGTTACTAACAATAAATGATTCAAGTATCTGTTGAACTGAGATTTTTAAAACTTAATAATTTATATAATTGTAAATATTTTAGAAAAAATGTAATTTGTCCCGAGTAGCATCAACTTCATCACAATATCATGGATGATCGAGAAAATAACTGTATGGATGAAGCTGTGCAAATAAAAGCATCGTTGTATTAGTGCATCTCCTGCAATTGAATTACAATTTCATTTACTGAAAAACTGAAGAAAATGGCAAATATTTGATGCATTTGAACAAGTCACGATGACGAAAAAGGTACACCGTAAAGCGCTCATACTTTCATCTAAAATTAAAGCTATCGTAGATAGGACGAAGTTCTTACGTAACATTTGCTGTCAATAATTCGAAATCTATAACAGTTTAAACAATAATAAAATAACGTAAGATGGTGAACAAATCACCGTTATTTAAAATACACGTTAAATAAAAAAAAATTTTTAAAAACACGAAAAAAGTATTCATTTTTAAGTCAATAATTGCTTTTATCATTGTAAGTAGTACCTTTTTAGAAAAGTAAAATAAACTTTATTCAACATTACGAAATTCTACTTCACTTCAATATTTCCACGGTTAAAAATTTTTTTCTTTAGTCACCCAAGATTCAACCCGAATACCCCAAAAATTAAATTTTAAAACAAAGTCCGACTAAAAATTTGCTTCGTTCTTTTTATTATAAACAATACTCAATTCTCCCGGTACCGATCTATTTCAAAACCCCCTGCATACGGTATAAAGAATTTTTCCCAGCAACCGAGCCAACGGTGCTCCTGTCGAAAGAACTTTCGTTACACCGGTAACTTGCTTTAACTGTTTCACCCCTGGAAAAGAGAACGGGAACGAAGAACAAGCAGCGTAAACATTCACCCAACTGGCAGTAGTTTGGTGCCAGTCGGCGGGAGAAAAAAGATAAAAAATTTGTGGAGGATGTTTAAGGGCGATGGAAACACGAAAAGCCGACGTTCCTTGGCACAAAAGCGTGGCCTGCGTTCGTTTGCTGTAGATCAGGCCGTTAAGAAAATGTGATCCGTTTTTGTGAAATAGTCTGAAAGTACCGAAAACTATTCACCCAGGGGACCGCATTGAGGTTGTACCGTCTGCCAACGTTGAATCATTCGCACGCATCTGCATTCTCCGTTCTGCTTTGTGCCGCGGTTACCAGCATGTGATCACGTATTTTCCACGCTTATATGCACACGCGCTTTGCTACTGCTACCGGTCCCGGCAATATTTTCATTCGTACCGCGTGCATCTACTCTCAAAGGCTAAGGATAATGGAATTGCCATTTCACTGGGTAAACATTTATCAATGGATATGTTATGGATTGTAATTTATGGAACCACGAATTCTGACTTTCGTATCGAAATGTTGATTTTCCTTTCACAGATTTGAATGCAACGAGGGCCAACTACTTGCAAACACTTTGCTCTATAGAAAATGATTGATGATTCATAAAAATTATTTCTCACGTAGTAATATACAGTAATTTTCATATAATAATTCATAAATCAAGGAATCAAAAAATGGCCATTTTGGGAAAAATAACTCAAATTGATTTCAATTCATTTGTTTAGGCAATTAGAAAATACTTGTTCCTCTTCTAAAGGGCCTATGAAATTTCCAAAATTCATCATCGTATGTTTCAGCGACAAGACGAAGTTTCCATGTTCGACTCCTATGCAATGAAAAGTTAGTTTTACAACAATCTCGAACTTGGTACAACCTCCCACAAACATTAACTACTTGTCCAACAATCTATAACTTGTTAATTAGTTATATTAAGTACTGAAGCATAAAACCGCATACTCGAAATTCTCGATCTTTCATCTATATCTACCTTTTGAATCAGTTGTAGTGCATTAATTTGATTATAAAGTATCGTCCAAATATTGATTGCTTCGTGATATTGGGTCAAAACGTAAGGAACAGTGAAAGGTTATAACTAAATCAAATCCGTATCGAATGTACGGACAATTTTCTGGCAAATTTCACTTCGGAGTTGAACAGAATATTAGAAAAATGGATGTGACATGATTTGAGTAGAAAAAAAAGAATCACATACAAAGGAACCATCGCCGCATTCATGTTGTCTCGGTAGAAATTTCAGCCGTTTCTTGGCAGAATTATTACAGGGGGTGAAAAATGGATATTGCACTGTAATGTTTGTCGCAACAAGCAGTGGATAAATATGGAAGGTGATACGTCCTGACCTACTGCAAGACAAGAGTTGAACCTGAAGAGGATAATATGTAAGGTAGGTGTGCACAACTTTTCCTTGTTAATGTTTAGAGCAGTATATAATTTTTTAAAATACTCATTTAGTGAAATTTTCAAATAACATATACAGTTTAGATTCTTATCTAGCATCTGAAGTAATTAATACGGCGGACCATGAAGAGAACCACAATTTTAATTCAATTTCGTATTTCATATTATTATCATTTTTTAAATTTCACACTCTACAAATATATGAAACCCTTTCATTAAAAAAATTATACATTTAATTTTAGTTCAAGGATTAAAGAAGTGATTTTTAACTTACAAAAATCGATGAAATTGCTGTAAGATTCACTGCAAAGGTGGGATCAAATTATATCCTTCAAAAAGAGTATATAAGTAATAAAATATGAATAAAAATTGCAAAGTTAAGTAATCCCCAGTTCACTTATAATACTTCTTTTAATTTCCAGAATCGACCATTTTCTCTGACACAGTTTCGTGTTTCTTTTAGTAATAAATTTCACGCTTATCTCAAGGCATAGGTACACCTACTCTAAAATACTAGAAAGAAGTGATTCAGATAAATGGTATGCGCTAATAATTAAATAAATTCAATAGAAGAAAGACTAGCCGGTACTGTGTCGTTTACCGATGACCATCAAGATATTTAACGTATTAAGGGACGAAGGGTCTAGCGTTAAAAACAACGTCGACGCAAGGGAGCACACGGTTTGCGTAGAGGTATCTCCGTAAATTACAGGAATTCACAGGAGAAGCCGTAAATACTTGGTTATCATACTTGGCGGAAGCACGGACGGGGCATTATACGTACATTCGCGTACATCGTGGCCAGGGATGGCGCTAACCGTGGATATGGCTTCACCGTTTCCATTCATCGGTGTGGATATCAAATGCAATAGTTCATGCCGCGTTTCCGACTAGGTGGTCGACCAGTCCTCGACCAGTCTGCCTCCTAATCCAACCGCCCACCGTTTCACACCGGTACCTGGCAGATTTACAGACACCGGCCTTGATATCTGCATCCGAGAGTCCACCGCTAGTTCCACTTGTCCCGGATCTGTATACTTTCCGTCAACTCGCGTTCTCGCGACGTCACCTTTCAGATAAATCAGACCGAACATAAGCTCCAACCGGTTAATCAGAGATCTTTCGCATCGAGTTCTCGCCGACGTATTTGAATCGACGCGCCTATCTGCTAATTAATGCAGCGTAATTTTCTCTGATGCGCTAACCGTGCCAGAAAGTTTTGTCTGCAATATTCTTAACGGCTTATCGATGCAGAAGTTTCGCTTATCGCTTGCATTAAACACTCAGTTTAAGTAGAATCTGATCGTTTACTTATTTACAAAAATCAGAAACGTATAAAATTGACGGAGTTATAAGTAATCATATTGATTATATTTATCTTTATCCTACTCACTTTGAATTATAAAACATAATATGTATTCCATATAAATCGAGGAAAAATATAGAAAAAGCACTTCATCCGGCACATCCGATGAACAAACATATTTTACGAATATGTATATTTATTTACGTTACGTCGAACAAAGTTAAATAATGTTGCGTACAAAGCTCTTCACCGTCATTACGTTATGTCAATATATCAGCTATTCACTGAGATAGTACTGGAATAAAACTCTTAATAACTCTGATGAAAATAAACCGTAATTTACGTATTCTGTGCGAAGTGCTGGAAAAATAAAGCATGTATTTTGTAATACAATTACTTCTTTAAATATCTTTCTTGGGAAGATTTGGGTCAATTGATACTGCGAATAATATTCTAATTCAGAAGAATTTAAAATATAATTGCAATGTAAATATTTAAAGTTTCTGAATTTGGAGAGTAATATTGAAATATAATGAACTTGAACAGAAAATTTAATATTGCTTAATAAGAGATTCATATCATTCGATAATTCCATACGTACGAGGGGGAAATTGATATCATTCAATAATTTACGGTAATTTAGTGACGTTTATGCATCGAGCTTCGATACTTATGAACATATTTGTATTCGTGTTTGCTCCATAGACGAGCGCCAAGTTTCGAAACTTTTGTGACGCACGTAACAGCTTTAAGAGAAATTTGAAACTTCGGTATACTAGTTCATAACTTAGATATTATCTAAAATGTGATTTGACGTACCAGATACGCGTGAATTTAAACCGATGAGCATGCGTGAAATTGTTCAATCTCTGCTAAAACCACTGGAAAAACTTTGTAAATATTTCCTTATTCAAAACTATTAAATTGAAATAAATTTTTATTTAACTCAAAGTACAAAATCAAGTAACTTTATCAGTAATATTATGAAATTAATTTTTTTAATATATATTGAAAAATTTATATTCCTTGATTAAAAATTCAATGTTTCATATATTACAACTATTTTGCAAAAATACCTGTAGATTTAATCTTCTAAAGAAGGTAAAGCTATAACTTTTGTCCATTTATTTCTTTGTTTCAAAGACCATCTTTATCATCAACTGAATTTCTTGACAGGTCACTTGGATGCTGAGTCAACCAATATTAACAGAAAATGAAAGCGAGTTCTATTTACAAAAGAAGCAGGGCTTTAAATTCCGCAACTTTCGTGATTAGATTGCTTCTTGGCTGAAATTGGACTAGGATCGTAAGATTAATATTTTCGCGACTGTATATGCACGCAGCTGTCAACAACCACAGTTCTGAAAGGTAAATACGAGTTTTATAGCTCTGCGGTGTCGTACGTTTCGAATAGCCCTCTGTAGTTTGTGTATACAGTGGATGCTATTAGTAAGTTGTATAACTCTCAAACGAAACTCAGAGTTTACATATAAGAAAATAAAATACATCAAGTATATATTAAGACCAGCCTTACATTGGTAATACTGTGAGCTGGAAAAGTGTCCATACACTCTTTTGTATGTTGGATCAAACAATTTGAATTTTTTGAGAAGCTATTATAAAATAAGTTTTTGTCTTTTTGAAAAATTACAATTGGACGAAATCGAAAAAATTTGATATTTCTTGAAATTCGACATTTAATATGCAACAACATAATACTTAACCCTTGAACAGTGGAGCCAGGGTCAATCGTGATCAAAATTTGCAAAATATATACAAAAACATTAATTTGAAGTTAAATGTATAATATTTAAAAGAACAGTATAAAATTTAAAAAATAAAGGTAATATGGAATACAAACTTACATTAAAATTGTGGCTCTCTCTATGGTCCGCTGTCCGAGGATTACATTAAAGTACTTGAATAAACAAATTTATGTAATTTGCTTATAATGTTTGTTTTGTAAATCCATTGTATGAAACCTTCCACCAACATTAAACAACTACAGTAATATCATTAAATTAAATATGTATATTTTTCGTTTAGTACCAACAAATTAATCTAAATTCATTTAGTATTAAATTTTAATTTGATTGCTTCCCTTAATCATAATTATAATCTACAAAAAGAAATATAAATTTCTTTTGAAAGGCCAATTATAGAGTTTATAAGTACATTTGTTTTTCTTTTCAAAGTCTGTTAATTGGAACGGGATTCATGGTATAAAATGAGTTAAGGCACGCAAGAAAATTGGTTCGACGGTTAACGGTTGAAATGTCTTAAACATTGAAACAGCAGTTTGAGTGGCAGAAACGAATTGTGAATCGAAGCTTTCATCAAACTGGTAGACGTTTCACTTCATTCCGTCTGCATTGGAATAAAGTTCACAAAACCCTAACCACCGTCACGTCACCCCCAAACCATTTTGCTCGCAAGTTTTCAGGGTCGATACACGTTTACTGGAACCGCTCTTAAGTTGTTCGATAACTGTATCAAGCCACTTTGAAACTTTCCTGTAACTTCATTAACAACAGGTAAATGCCTTGAATTGCTGTGTTATATTTTCAAACGCGAGGCGAGCAAAATAAAAAAAAAAAGAATGATTGAATTTTTTCTCATGGACCCTGGAAACTGAAATTTTCTGCTTTTAATTCATCTAGTTGCGAATTCATTTACGCGGATATAAAGTTACCTTAGAATTCTCTTTAATCGAATTAACTTGAATGTAGTAATTCCATTAGGGCGAGACTAAGGATAGAATGAAGAAGTCGAAGAAATATGATAACACTGAAAAGAAAAAAAAGATGATTTTGTTAAAGTCGGGACATATTATTTTCAGTATCTAAATTAATTAAAGTTAGTTACTATTCATTTTTATGAAAGAATTAATTTAGCAACTAAGAATTACATTTGAAAATTTTTAGAATATGAAATAAATTTTATGAAACAATTTTTTGGGAGTTAAAAGACTGAATTTTCTTTAACATATGAGCAACGATGTAATATATTTTTGGGTTTTGTTTTTTCTTTTTAAGTATATCTTTCATATGATATCGGAAGCTGTTACAGTTTTATACATATAATGTGTACTTACTTCGTCCCTGTGTACCTAAAATATTGCAGAATAAAAGCACCAGTAAAACACGAAGTGAACCACTTTCCTGGCTCTTTATCAGAAATGTCGATGTCATGTTTCAGAAAATGTACTATTATCCATTTCGTTATTTATGAATTGATATTTCCTCGACTTCGAAACTGCCTTGAAACTTTGAAACCATTTTACTAAAATGTATGTTACTTTAATGCACGTATAATTCAAACTGCTACGAATTTCTTGTCTCCAAGCTGTTTGATTTTTTTGAAATAAATTCAATCTTGTTACGTAAAACTATAACATAAAAGTCGTTAAAGAAGAATGTAATTAAAAACCTATACTCGTTGTGGAAAAGTATTCACAGAGTGTTAAGTGTTGAATATGGTTTGAAAAAAAAACAAAAAAAAAATGAACGGAATTTAACGCTGGGATCGGCGTAGCTTGCCTAGTTGGTAATGAGTTAAGTAAAGTTAACACAAAACTAACTGTTCACTCGCATAAACACATTCCGAGACCTCGAACCTAATCCTGAGTAGAACTAACTTCTCAGGTCGGTATCGTTTCAGTTGACTAGCTTAACATGTTAAACATGGGTCATAGGTTAACTTCAGAATCAAAATATCCACTTCCCTTTTAAGAAAACGTTCTACAAATTTGTATCATTTTTCCTTCAAGGCCTTTAGCAATTCTGTATCATTTTTCATAGCTCTTCCTTGTAACTTGAATAGTATCTTTTATAGTCTTTTAAATAATATAATTTATTTTTAATAATTCTTTGGTTTTTTGAAAGATCGACGAAATTGTCTTAGAATAAATAAAATGAAATAGATTAGAAATAAATATTCTAAGTCAATTACTACTTGTTAAATGGTTCTAAGTGCAAATATTGAAATAAAATGTACGATATACGAAAAGTTCACCGAATCATAATTCATCGAAACAATTCGACGAAAAACAATCCATCGAAATTAAATTTCACTAAAAAAAAATTCACTGAAAATATTCTCCGAATAGCTAAATTCTCGATACTCTCTATCATTCAATAGTTAATGGTGAGTCTGAAAATTGTTAACTGTAATTGTTTAAATAGAACGATCAAAGAAATTCAGATTTAGAGATATATTAAATGAATATATTAAATTAACTGTTTACTGGGCAATTAGCAGAATCGAATAATATGCAAGGTACAGTAACCTGTCATAATGACGAGGATGTTAAGTTAATTATGGTCTTCAAAGTAATCTACGGATGGGAGAGCATTAGGTACAATCTCAGGGGAATCTCCCGAAATGTCAGTACGAAATGTCATACAAGTGTGGCGCTGGTAATCCTCTTCACCACTCATCCTTTACCTCTTCAACAAGCACTGAGTCAAAGGTTCCTTTACCTCTTCTCGTTCCAGTTATGCACAAAAGGATGAAGATCAAACAGAGTTGATGTACTGATCCGTGATCTGAATGCATGCTTGCATTATACGAATCGATAACGAAATCATAAAGAAACTGAGAATGTAGCAGAACTAATTACATATCGAACGTGGATTCGTTTGTCGATTAATAAGACCAAGGATGAAAATGAAAACAATTTTACTCGCTATTTCATCTAATTTAAAATTCATTTTTAGTTTAATTTTAAATATATTTATCTCGGATTACCGTTTGAGGAATAA